GGCATCTGACTGGTAGAGAACGGAGCCTGCTCTTCCAGGGGTGCCCATCTCCAGAACATTGTGTCTCCCAGAGGCTTACTGACGGATTTCATAATTTTGTTGGCACCTGTGAAAGTTCTATTCTTTTCCTCCAGGTTCTGCTCCCTGCCTGTATGTGCCCTCTCTTTTACTCAATTCCCAGAGCTGGCCTGTCCCAAATTCTTTCCCTCTATCCAAAGTTGGTATGCATTGACCTACCTGTGGACGACGGTTATTTCTGTCTCCCGTCCTTAGTCCTTTCAGCATCCAACTCTGCTTCCTGCAGGGATCGACGTTGAACAAGTGTCCGTCGTTATCAACTTTGATCTTCCCGTGGACAAGGATGGGAACCCTGACAATGAGACATACCTACACCGGATCGGGCGCACGGGCCGCTTTGGCAAGAGGGGACTGGCAGTGAACATGGTGGACAGCAAGCACAGCATGAACATTCTGAACAGAATCCAGGAGCATTTTAGTGAGTCCCGGGGAGGGTCCTATGCCTGGCACCCTTTCCTAAGTGGGGCAGGGTGGGGAAAGGGGTAGGATCTTCTGTAGCTCAGAGACAGCCTTTGTCCCTGGCACCCCCACCTCCTTTCTGACCATATGGAAGTTCTCAGGGAGCACACCTGGAGACTTCAGGGCCCAGGGACCCCAAGGACAGCTCCCCTGTGACCGGGCTTGGGGGCCTTCAGCTCTGACTGTTGCTGTCAGTGACTAGGGGCCCTGCTGTCCCCTACTCATGGGACACATTCCTGGGCAGGGTAGAGACCTGTGTATTTTTTCTCCAGATAAGAAGATAGAAAGATTGGACACGGATGATTTGGACGAGATCGAGAAAATAGCCAACTGAGAAGCTCCACCAGCCACTGGTGCCAGCCCTGGCACTGCCCCAGCATGGGAGACAAGTGTGTTCAGGGCACAGGCCCCGACATCACCCCAAGGATAGCGGCACGAGGAGAGAGAAACTACCTACCTCACTTCAAATTATATTTGGACTTGACAAAAATGTGTGCAAATGATGGGGGGCAATAGAAGGAAAATTTTGCATTTTGGAAAATTGGGTCCTTTAACCACTTTTTTAAAGCCGCATTTCCCCCATCTTTATAGTAATCTGGTCACATTGGCATTCACTGGCCCCAGGACCCCCTCCTGATTTTGCCTAGGCATTGTGAAACCAGCTGCAGCCCCTGAAGAAATGGTAGACATGGAGGTTATGTGGAGGAGGCCTTGCGGGACATGGTGTGAACCCTGCCACCATGGATGGAACGAGGGAAGCGGGAGCAGAGAGGCCAGAGCTGTCCCCCATCTGTCTCTTCACTGGACCCTTCACAAGTGTTTCTCCTGCCCTTGGGGCCGTCTTCCTTATCCTGAAACCCAGAGACTTCCTTGGTCATCCCTTCTCCTTTCCACCTCTGTTCTCCACAGCAGAAAGTAGTCTTCTGTCTCCCTGATGAGCAGCTCAGCTACTTTTGTAAACTTCAGATTTGGGGAGAAACACGGAAGTCAGTGAATCCTGACCCCTCGAGAGAGAGTGATCTGGCAAGGGCTGATGAAGGGGCTGGTCCTGGGCCTGCCTTCTTCTCTCAGATGCTCCCTCTGCTTAGGCCCCTGGTACTCAGTCGTGGCAGCCAGGAGACTCCAGGTGAGTTTCTGAGCACACATGTAGTTAGTTCTTACCCCTGGGGTGTCACACTGGGCCTGGAGCTGAGTAAGAGTTTGGAATAGAAATTATGACCAAGGGAAAACTCTGATTATGCTGTTTATCCATTATAGTGGACCTTATGGGGTACTTTGATTCCTACATCATATGAATAAGGGTGGATTGACCGGGCGCAGTGGCTCGCACCTGTAATCCCAGCACTTTGAGAGGCAGAGGTGGGTGGATCGGTTGAGCTCAGGAGTTCAGGACTGGCTCAGGAGTTCAAGATCCGCCCGGCCAAATGATGAAACCCCATCTGTAATAAAAATAGAAAAAACTTAATCGGGTGTGGTAGCACGCACCTGTAGTCCCAGCTACTGGGGAGGCTGAGGCAGGAGGATCGCTTAAGCCTGGGTTGAGGCTGCCGTGAGCTGAAATGGCGCCACTGCACTCCAGCATGGGTAAGAGCGAGACCCTGATACAAAAAAATAAATAAGGATGGATAAATTATAGCTGTATGCATCAATCATTATGCTAAGTAAGACATTTTAAAATAAGTATGAGAAATGCTTTACTAATGATTTGTTTTTATTTGTATTTTTCCGCTTATTAGACAAATACATACTCATTTTAAAAACGCGTGTGTGTATAAAGTAAGAGTGCACTCTATCCCTACTCCTCTGGGATCCTGATTCCTGGCAGCTTGGTGAATGTTCTATCATATTGCCTTTTATTTGCATAAACTAACCCATTTTTCTTTTCTTTTAAAAAAACGGGAACATTGTATTCATACTACTATGTGACCTGCTCTTCCACTGATCAGCCTGTGTTAGACTTGTTGATATGTCCAGCACACATACATCTTCCTCACCCAGGAAACATTGTCCATTGTCCTTCCAGTGTGTGGCTGTCCCTGCATTTATCTCCTGGTTCCTCTAGTGACAGGCATGGGGGATTTCCACTACATGGCTGCTACCCACAGTTTTTTTTTTTTTTTGAGACAAGAGTCTCACTCTGTAGCCCAGGCTGTGTGATCTTGGTTCACCGCAACCTCTGCCTCCCAGGTTCAAGTGATTCTCTTGCCTCAGCCTCCCAAAGCACTGGGATTACAGGTGTGAGCCACCATGCCCAGCCCAAACACCTTTTTTTTTTTTTAAAGATTCCTTTATTGCTTATTTATCTTTGTAGAGATAGGGTCTCACATTGTTGCCCAGGTGGTCTCAAACTCTTGGGCTCAATTAATCCTATCTCTGTTTCCCAAGTAGTTTGGATTATAGGCATGAACCCTTTACCCAGCCTGTAATCTTTGACTTTTGTTCTTTTTTTGAGGCAGGCTCTTACTTTGTCACCCAGGCTGGAATACAGTGACATGATCTCAGCTCACTGCAACCTCAGTGCAGTGTCAAGTGATCCTCCTGCCTCAGCCCCCACAAGTAGATGGCACTACAGGCCTGCACCATCACGCCCAGCTAATTTTTGTATATTTTGTAGAGATGGGGTCTCTCCATGTTACCCAGGATGGTTTTGAACTCCTGAGCTTAGCGTGTCCCAGAGTGCTGGGATTATAGCCATGAGTCACCACTCCCAACTTTGTTCTTATTTTTAAGCACTGGTAAAAATCACTTGAGGATATATTCCTGGGAGTAGAATTGTTGGGTCAAAGAGTAGGGACATTTAAAATTTTAATTCATTGTCAGTTATGCTTGCCAAAATGTTTTTACTAATTTATGTTACAGTGATACAAAAATACGTATTACCTTACATGCTTGCCGACACTATTATCAGTGTTTAAAACTTTGCCAGTCTGATTGGCAAAAACAGATTATGTCATTGCTTTTTTGATTTTTATTTAGTGAGGCTTGGCAAACATTGTTTATGGGAAAATATTCTGCTGCGGAGCTGCCCATT